TTTGTATGGCTTAATTGTGATTTTATGCATTTTTTAATTGATTCGTAAAAATGACAACTCACAAATTTGATTTGAGAATTTTTAATGGAAAACTGTGAATTTTCAATATGTCAACAAAAGATTAGAGATATTTTGGTTCAACAAAAAATTTCAAATGTTATTGAAGACAATTTTTCTACTGATTTTCCAAAAGAACAAAAAGAAGAAGCGGATGAACTTACTTATACTTCAATCAGTTTACACTTGTCTTAAGCTATTTTGAGAAAAGTAAATAAATTGAAAACTTCGAAAGAATTTTGAAAACGTTGAAGGACTTGTATTTGCTCAAATTTACTCCGAACAAGCTTTAATTGAGCATTTTTTCAATTTTAAAATGGATCCCATTAAAGAATCTTGATGACAATTTAGACATGTTTAACAAACTTATTCAATATATTGTTAATTGTGAAGAAACGGTGTCTGAAACCTTCAAGTTTATAATCTTGCTTAAATCTTTACCCGACACTTATAAAGAAGTTAAGAATGCAATTACATATGGTAGGCACACTTTGACGTCTGAAATTATCATTGACTAATTCAGAAGTAAGAAGATGGAGATTAAAGCAAAAACACGATAAGAAAGGCAATGAGATTCACATGATAAGGGGTAGACTCAGTTTAAGCAAAACAGTTGTGATGATTTCAAAAGTGGTGGTGAGTCAAGTGGAGGTAAAAAAAAGAGTAAGTGTAGGTCTAGATCAAAATCTAGAACCAAGGTTAGAAAATTTAATGGCTGCGGGAACATGGGACATTTTATAAAAAAAATTACTATAAAGAGAATGGTAAGCTAAAGGATAAAGAGAAAAATAAAGTAAATGTGTTTTCTTCTGGTTCAAATATTGATGATGGTGAAGTTTATATGATTACAAGTTCTGTTGGTTATCCTGCTCAATTAAATCTAATTGTCAATTCCCGTTTGCATGAGTGGATACTTGATTTTGGTTCATCTTTTCAAGTAACGCCACAAAAGATAGGTTTGATTACTTGCATGAATTAAATAATGGGCATACTGTGCTATATGACAATTATGCTTATACTGTTGCTAGAATTGGTAATATTACCTTAAAGTTTGACACTAGTTTGTACACTTTAAAAGATGTTAAATATATTCCTAAACTATCTAGGAATTTAATTTTAGTAAGAAGACTTAAGAAATCTGACTTCATTGGAATATTTGAAATGAAGTTTTAAAATTGGTTAAACGTGAACTTGTTTCCATCAAGGGAATTAGGAGAAATGATATTTATATCATTGCTGCAAAATTGAAAAGAGGTTTAGATTCTGTTTTCTCAAAATGTCTTCACATTTCAAAGTTGAAATTTTTAATGGGAAAAAGGATTTTTTGACGATAAAAGATGAAAGGAATTTTGGTTCAACAAAAAGTTTCAAAAGCCATATATGAAAAATTTCTTGTAAATTTGACAAAAGCACCAAAAGAAGAGAATGATAAACTTGCTTACACTTTAATTATTTTACACCTATCTGACACTGTTTTAAGAAAAGTTAGAGAACTTATATTTGCTTAAATCTACTCCTAATAAATTGTACTTACTTGAAAGACTTTTCAGTTTTAAAATGGATCCTTCAAAAGATCTTAATGACAATCTGGATAATTTTAACAAACATGTTCAAAATGAAGCACCAAAAGAAGAGAATGATAAACTTGCTTACACTTTAATTATTTTACACCTATCTGACACTGTTTTAAGAAAAGTTAGAGAACTTATATTTGCTTAAATCTACTCCTAATAAATTGTACTTGCTTGAAAGACTTTTCAGTTTTAAAATGGATCCTTCAAAAGATCTTAATGACAATCTGGATAATTTTAACAAACATGTTCAAAATATTGTTAACTGTGATAAAAAGGTGTTTGAAACGTATAAAGTCATTGTTTTACTTAATTCTATGTTCAATTCATATAGAGAGGTCAAGAATGCAATTAAGTATGGTAAGAAGACCTTAAGAGAAAGTAAACGGAGATCAATGCTGAAAAGGAAGATAAGAGGGGTGGTGGATTACATATGATGAAATTTAAGCAAATGAATTTGGGTAGAGCTCAAGACAGTAGTGACTCAAGTAGTAACTTGGGTAATGAGGATAGAAAGAAGAAGGGTAAGGGAATGGACAAATCTAGTGGTAGACGGTATTACAATTGTGGTAAATCTGGACACTTTATTAGGGATTATCCCAAGAAGAAAGATAAGCAGAAGGGTAAGATGAGAGGAAAGACGAATGTGGCTATAGGGTTGAGTAAGGACCCTAGTGAAGTTTATTGAGAGTAAACTTAGTTACTGCATGTATATATGTGTGTAATCCTTTCTGAATGTGGTGATTGCTTAATTCTATTGCGTTGATATGTTACACTTTTAATCTGTTTGTGTGTGTAACTGCATGAATTGAAGTGATCTTATTACTTGTTATAATTGTTGAGTGTCTTTTGGTAGGGTAGAGTATAGATGCCTACGGGTATATTGGTGGTTTGTATCGGAGATGTGGATTGTATCATTTGGATCACGAATGAGGAGGTGATTAAATGTTGAAATTCTTTATCTGTAAAGAGACTCTGATCAGATGGAGTGTAACCCATTATCCATTTAGGCTGGAAGAAGTGATGTGGTGATAGAAAATTATCTCGAAGACTTAGGATCTATTATAACTTACCAATTAAATATGGATTGAGTGATCAGTCTAGTGAGCATAATGGATTATGAGAGGAAATATGCATTTTCAAAGTGTGAGCAACACGGAATGTGATAAAATAAGTGTAGTGAGATCTTTTCATATGGTCATTTATGCATTTATGTTGGCCATTTGAATGATTAACTTAATGATTAGTCTGTTGTTCTATGTGAATACGTTTGAAAAGATTTATGTGTTATCCTATATTATATCGTCATCACATATTTATTTGTTCTTGATTTATTACTGTGAATATTCGCTTCCATTTGGGTGTTCCTCACCTTAGTCTTGGTGAGTTTATGGAGTAGGTATATTGTGTGTTTTGGGTTGGAAATACGAGGCAAGGTCTATGATCTCAATTTTATTGGTTATCTTGATTATGTAAGTACTAATTGTGTATTTTGATTGTTTGCAAATTTATTGGGCATCAAGGAGAAGATTTGTTAAGTTTTGATATCCAATAAATCCCGAACAATAATGTTAAATCAATATTGGATAAATTAAATATCAACATTTACGATTGATGATCCAATCTTAAAACTATTTGGGGGGCCATTGGAAGCAGTGTAATTAATTAAAGTTGCTTATGGCACGGTTCCTCACTTATTGGATGGCTTACCAGACTTGACCCACTTATTGTATCTATATTGGGCTTGGTCCATTACAGTGCCCTAACAAATCCTATATATGCTGCCCCTTTTTGGCTTTGTCATTAATGTGTTTTGCCTCTTTTGTTGAGAAGAAAACCAAGGCTGCCTCCACTTCATGCATTTGCCTTATATTATCTTCTCTTTGCCTTTGTGGCACCGCCTGTGTGGCTGCAAAACATCATCTCTTTTGTGTCTTAAGTGGGTACAATTAAAAGCAACCAAAGTATGGAATGGTTGAAGGATTGGGTCGTGATAGCTTTGGTGTTTTGATAAGGTTGAGATTGGTATATGAGCCCATATTCCACCAATCAATGATCAATTATGCTAGAATAAGGCAAATAACATGTAAACAAAAAAAATTCATTAACTTCAATTTTTCAATATATAATGAGATACAATACGCTCATGCGTAAACAATGCTCACATAGTATTATTACATAACAATAGAGTAGAATTTCTTAATGAACTTGTGCCTTTTCGAACTAGCATCATTCATAAAACTGAAACTCCGTGTAGGCTAACGGAGTTATTTAAGGATTAGTGGTTGAATGAGGATCTGGAATGCTAGGAAAAGATGGTTTTGGCAGCTCTGGGATATCTGGAAACTCTGGCTTTGGGAAGCCTGGAATCTCTGGCTTTGGCAAAGTTGGGAGTTCGGGCAATGGTGGGAACTCAGGCTTAGGAATCTCTGGCTGCGGGCTGCCTCGAGAAGATGGTGTGAGACTGCTACTTTTTTGTAGTCATCCATTGATGAAAGAGCGATAACTGCCATCATTAAGAAAACTGTCAGACGAGCCATTATGTGAAAAGATTACAAGAAGATGTTAGCAGTAAAATTTAAGCTTGATTGATAGTGTCAGTCTTTAATATTATGAGTATTTATAATGAAGTGAGGTTAGAAACAGCAAGGATTACAAGGTTTGGTTGGTAGGAAGGGTTTTGAGTAGTTCAACTTCTCATCCATTTCTTTTCTGAGATATGAAATTTTCGTAAAGTTCGTAGTCAATGATGTTCATATACCTGATAGGTCACTTGGCAGTCACAAGTTTATTACATTCGTACTGGTTTATGCTACGTCAATCTTTTAGTCATGACTCGTGTGATGAGTAGATACCTCACTACACGAATGGTGAGCCCTTCTTTCTTTTCTTTTGAAGTAGGTCTAGCTCCTCCTAAATCTATTTTTCTTTTGCTACTAATAAGTGGGCTGGCTAATTTGGTCAATTTATCCAAAAGAAAATTGTTTGAGTCATTTCCTTGGGTTAATTTAATTTTTTGGCCATCGAAATTCAATTTATTTTCAATGATACTCACTGCTTAGCCCCATTTCTAAGTGAACATCCTAATCATGTCTTGGGTGCAAACTTCTGAGATTGGAGATAAATAGAGCTTTGATTATGCTCCATCGGATGAATTAGAATCGATATTAAAAGCTATTTATTTTTAGTTTTTTTTAAGCCACGACATAATTAGTTGGCATATTAACCTTGAAACTTATGACATGCAGTATCGCTATCAAGTTTTAACGTTCACATGGGATTGTGACTGTAAGTTGAATAACGGGATTAAAGCAGCAACTAATGTTGAAAGTAAATTGAATCTCACCTATCTAAAGTTCAGTGACCAAAAAATGAAATTAACCCCATTTTCTAAAATCACGTTTTCTATAAATATAGTACAGGAAAGAGGGAAAAAAACGAGTCTGCAGGTTGCAAAGGCCTTTGAATTCTTTGATTATGAATTATACAAGTAAACTAAGAATTATAATAAAAAAAACTTCTTATTTGACACACAACTTATAATCAAAATTAAACTTCAAAAGATCATGCAACAACACAGGACTTAAACTTTGAAACAAACTCACTCAGGACCAAAATTCTCGATTTTTAATAGAGTATTCACCAGCAACCTTTGGTCTGCATCCTTTGCAATCAAGTGTCCATTTTTCAAATGTACAATCAGCAAAGTCATAGTAGCCACCATGAAGTGAAAGCATCCCCTTTTCAACCCGGTCTTCTATCCACGGATAAGTGAGTAAGTTCAACAATGACCTGTTGATTGATTCCTGGAAAATGGAATCCGGGCTCAGATTGTTTATCCAGCCGAAGAATAGAATTGTAATCCTAGTGATATATGTTTGTTCTAGTCCTATTCTACTTTTGGATAGAAGTAACCACCTACGGTATCAAAAACCTGATTAAGACTTGCTACACTCAAATTGACACTGGGAAACAGTTGAATTTCTTTGCACCTTCTTTTGGAAAGTGAGACAAGCAGAATGCCATGATTTATATCCGGGGGCAGGGACGTAGCCAGGAGAGTAGAGTTGTGGAGGCAAATATAAAAAAAAAATAATAATAATAATAAATAGTTGTGGAGGCAAAATTGAATATTACAAGGAATTCTTTTTGAAAATCTTGAAAAATCTATTGCAAAATCTTGGATTTCAAACACTACCCCCACTGTACATCTGCCGATGTCCAGGGGTGGGGGGGATGGTCTTCACTATAAGCACATAAGCCCATGATTGCAAAAAGATACAATTTTGGAAGAGTAAGATGAGAAAGGGAATATTATACATTCTGTTATTGAACTTACATACGACACAAGAAATACAAAATCTCATTGTGCATGGTGCAAGGGGACAAGAGGGTAAACAATAGGGGGTCGTACCTTCTCGCAGTGCCTGCACTGTTGATCAAGATTAAGGTCCGAAACAGCAGCTATTGTTCTCAACCTTGCAGCCTTTCCTACTACTACCCAACTTTTAATGAAGCTACTACTGCAAAATACAAGGCTAGTGAGAAACATAAGGATATCCAGAGAGAACCGAGGATGGGAGGGTTATACATCACTGAAAGAAAAGAGGGCAGTCAAACCTTGAACTCATTTCATCTTGCATACTCATTAAGGCATGGATCCCTCCACAGCAACTGTGGCCAACAACTAATATATTTTCCACCTGCAGAGAATATCTTTACTAAGTTTCACAGAGGGAAAGGGATATTTTGTGCTATGATAAAATTATAAAAATTAAAAAGAAATAGAATAATACTGAATTCATCAACCTTTTAAACTCACAGGCTAAACTAAGTGATACAAGAATGACAAAAGAGCTTCTTAAACTTGGCTTCAGTTTTTGCCTAGGGACAAGGAATAACTTTTCCTCCTCAAATCTGTGTCCTCTTGACTATCAGTGAACTTAAGCAATTTTGTGCCAGTAACTGCTAGGCTTTTAGATAAAAATTTTCACTGAAGTATCAAAATGAACTTTGTTTCCTAACACTAGACATTTTTTTTTTTTTATGAATTCATACCATTCGGCTTGTTAGTGGGGTACATTTCTTTCATTTCTATGATAGAGGCACTTTACCAGGCACGCTCGACTAAGGAATAAAAAAATTGGTACTTTTCCATTTGGCTAATCCGGTCATTCTTATTCCCATTGGCATACCAATTGCAATACATCAGGAAGAAGAAGCTAAGTCTTGGTCACAGTAAACTTACTGCAGTTAAAACCATATTTTTATTCTGCTAGTTGACAAAAACTAGAAAAAGCATGGACTCATATACATTAAGCAGATATTATACTTACTTCAAGAGAATTCACAGCAAATTCAAGGGCGGCATTTGTTTCTGTAGGTCCATTCTGCATCAGAAGAATACACGACCAGAGCATTCAGATTCACATCCAAAGATCCAAAAATCAATTTACACTATGTAAACATCATGTTTATCAATTTAGTAAGGAGGGATGACACAACCCAATAAGAAGCAAATACCTCATGTGGGGGCACCAGGTTTGCCACATTCCGGACCACAAAAGCTTCTCCTGGTTGAAATCCCAGGATGCTCGAGGGACAAACCCGTGAGTCGGCACAAGCAATCACCATGAACTGTTCTCGAAAATGTCAGTTTCAGGCAACTTCTGCTTCCAATTCTAATATTGAAATTACAAAAGCATGTTTGTTACCTTAGGTGCTTGTCCCCTGGCAAGAGTTTGATAATGTTCCAAGTTTTCCCTATAGAATTGAAGTACATGATTCCAAGTCAGGAGAAAATCATTATTGTATAAAATTATGAAATATGTCTGTCCAAAATACATGATTCTTACAAGTATTTATCCTTCTTGAAACTAAGAAATCGATGTCTCATCTCCTCGAAAGCATCAAAACCCTTCTCAATTGGTCCAATGCTCTTCTGTGGGTTATCTATGATCTCCTGGGTTAGGCCTGGAGACTCCCGTAAGGCTTTCAATCTTAAAGTTGGAGTTCTCCTAAATTGACAACAGCAATCGTGAAGAGCAGAAAAATTTTTGTTAGTATAATACCCAATATCGCAAAGCGCATATAACTTAAGTCAAAATAAAGGCATGCTTATCTCTCGGGGTCAATCTCGATTGTTGAATGGAAGTCTGTAATCTTAAAATGTAAGTATGTCCTATAAACCACCATCAAACAATGTAATCAGAAGCATATGATGCAAGAATTAGGGCGATCTTAATAGATATATTGACCATATCTCCTTCGTTACAGGAAAAACTTTAGTTGATAGGTGGAAACCTATCTGGACAGAAAAATGAAGCAGCATCAGGCATAGGTGATTTTCAACTTCCAAAATAGAAATGTAACCAATTGCAGTTTACGATGCAAAATTGATTTCAAGGTATAAGTGGTAGCTTATCACTAATTTTCGAACTCTGAAGCAAATTCTGACTCAAAACACTAATTTCCCTCATTAAAAAAATAATGCAGTATTTAAATATGTCAATATTATATAGCTCAGGAAGGCCCTGAATAGAAATGCAAAATATATGAAACCTCCACTGCTCCATACATACACCAGATGAGGACTATAAATATGTATATGCAAACAATTTGCGAGTGTATACATGAAGGCATACACGTTGTGAGCTACATGCCGGGAGACTCACACATGTTTTTGAGGGACCATTTCTCTCTCATGCCTTTCTGGGGATGAACACCCATACTCGGTATCAAATCAAAATATTTTAGATTGGAGCACCAGTATTTTATGGTCTACCACTTGACATCCATCTTCCATGGTTATTTCGTATCCTCTTTCAATATCCGGCCAAATGACTAAAGGATCATCAATCTACCTCAATTCACTATTTGTCATGCCAGCTTATAGTTACCTCCCAGATGCTCAATAAGCTCATGAGAATGAACCAAACCCCAGATCGAACCCCAATTTTTTGGAAATAAAATTAAATAACAAGATGGAAGAACTATATCTTACAAAATATTTGGCACACAAGTACTGTCAAGAAAGAATCTTCCACAAGGGGATTATAGGCTATCAATTCACACATGGAGTAGGATTTTAGGCACATTTTGCAATAACTACTGCCATTGTATTAACTGTCTCTTACCATAAATGGTGTCTGAAAGAAAATCCGTTGGCTAAAATTTACATTAAACTTTATTTGCTCTGTAATCTTCTCAAATATACTCAAATCAATGTACAGATGAGCACATTAAAAGCCAATTGTTAATCGATTTTTCTTACAAATGAAGACCTCGAACCGGATTAATAAAAAGGAATCTAATTAGCTGAAAATTTTCAAGAAAAGAGGACATTCGACTTCGAGAGACTTACTTGAAAGAATCCAAAAATCTCATGTGGGTCTGCTCAATTTCCCAAGATTTCAACTGGGAACCAAAGATCTGTTCCAAGAAAATAACTAAATAAATAACCATGTCAGTTCAAAAGAAAACAAGCCCCGAATACTTCATAAACATCACATAAAAAATATATATATGAAAAAAAAATTACTGTGACATATTTCGCGGGAGTTTTAATTATGTCCATTGAAACAGAGGTAGAGGAGAATTGAAAGACTGCCTGAGACATTATAGAAATCTTTCTAGAACTTTAAGCCTAGTGAGCGATGAATCAAGAAAATGATAAAGGCACCGTTGGAACGCATATATATAGACCTTTTTATTTACTTTTTTTTTAATTTGTTGGTTGGATCAGTGGACACCTGTTCTTGTTGTCCAAGAAAGACGGAGAAACCAATGCTTTTTAATTCGGAAATTAGGAAGAAAAAAATGGCTATTTTGTTATTTATGTCTGAACCCAATTGACTGCGATGAAATCGAGGTACAACCACCCGAATGCAAATATAACGGCTCTTTATTTCAATCAACGGTCACCGTACAGATTTGCAAAATTGACCCAAATGAATTACTATTACAGTGGAATCCCTAACCCCGGTAAAAAAATGAAAATGGGTCCCCAAAACTTTATTTTTGACACCACCATCCTCAACCTTTGAAAGACGGTAGTAAATAGGCCCGAGCGGCCAAGCCAATCATTAGCTCAGTATGAATATCAGGTCATTAAAGAATTTTGAGAAGTCAAAATGAACTTTTGAAACTCAAAATCAGATTTGAAAC